AAACGAAGTCGCGAAATCTTTGTTCATTCATTTCATTCCTTTTCCATACAATTGAACAATTGAAGAGATATTACAGCACTTCATAGCCAAATGTGAGTAAATCCATGGCTTACTTACCATCACAAAACTTCCACCAAACTCGAGCCATGGCTCATATCCAATCCTGCTCCTGCAGTTTTAGTGGCAAATAAGTCTCTGAGAGATATTGAAAGCCGAATGTGCTCAAAGCTTGAATTTCTGCCTTTTGCTTGGTTTTCACCATAAGAGTCAGCTCCTCAACCCATTTCGGGTTTTTCTTCACAAAATCTTCCTCCAACATTTCTTTCCCTGTCTTAATATCCTGATCAGTCATTGTCAACCTACACTGCTCAGGTATCTTGTACTTGTCCAAATCACTGGGCCGTATCCCCAACCATTTTATATCCGGCGTCGTCAAATTCGCACTGTCATACGACATGTTCTTCGACCCGCAACCATAAACAGATAAGATTTTCAGCCCGTATGGATCACTGTCCACAAGGGCCAACACCGGCAGTTTCAATTCCAGCTTCATCTTCCTCAAAAACAGCCTGGTTGCAACATCTGGCTGTCCCTTGGTGGTGACGGCAATGGACGGAAATCGATAATCATAATCTCTTTTCTCTCAACAGGGAACTCTTAAGCCACCCAAATGATCAGGAGAGAAACTTTTACAAAGCCTAGAAAGTTTGCTTGATCGGATTCTTGATAAAAAATTGTTCCATAAAACTGAATCTCCCAAAGAACCTGATAATACAGATTTGAAAAACAATCAGAAAGATACATTAATGACCCTGTTTCCAAACAAGATGTGCAAATTTAGTGCTATCTTGACGAACAAAGCAACACAAAAACAAGCCTTGAAAAGAAATGCAACCTTGGAAGCTAAAATTTGGAGAAAGTTTGACAAAAACTCATCAGAAAATCCTCAAAATTATAAAAATTAATATTTGGTTGATACGAAGCAAAAGCAGAAGCTGTATAAAGAAAAAGTACACACTCTAATAGATGCCGCTGCATAAGCTGATAAGGAAAAGATACAACAAGGCTGGGGAAGAGTACAAGTATAATAATGCACTGAGAATTGGGAATTGCTTGTACCTCATAATTACAATGAAATTAATTTTCCTGAAACACAGCTTCTTCAATCTGCACCCCATGATCAACACCTGTCTCTCAACGAACTGATCAAAGACAACTTTGGTCAATGCTGCTTGTGGAAAGAAAAAATTATAGGCATTGGCAAACAGAGTTAATATTCTTTGTAGAGATGGGTTTAGAAAAAAAAAATGGTACCTTTAAAATGAACACTAAGTTAAAATGTACTAAACAAAATACAATCAGAGAACACTTGAAAACTCAGAGTTTAATTTGTTTTGGTTTTCAACTTCCAAGTGATTATAAATCATATCTTTATTTGAAGTAATTGAATGATTAAACTAAAATGCGAATAGAAGGAAACAACCTAATTAATGATAAGTGAGAACGAATTGCACAAACATTTTTTCTTAGCGGTTTTCATGATTAAACAAGTCAAAGAGAAAGTAAACCAAAAATTAAAAAATGTACTAAACAAAAAACAATCAAGTTAAGTTAGATAAGGCTTCTCTAGTAGGCCCAGTCTCAGATGTAATTTTGTTTAGTTGTGTTCGGGCTTAGCCCCCAATTCACCAAAAGGAGATTTTTTTTAAAAAAAAAAGTAAAGAGAAGAAAATAATTGATTTCAGAACCAAAGAAAACAAATAATAGAATTGAAAAACTTACCATAGATGTTTGGAATATGCGAAATCTTGGGCCATTCTGGACCACTGTCTTTATTGCATCTCTCTCTCAGAAGAGGACAATTTTGAATATATATGTACTGTAATTTGGTGAGACATTTCATAGCTTCAAGTGTAGGTAGAGACATCAGATTCTTGCAATTCCATATACTTAGGATCTTAAGATATGCAAGATTTCCCAACAACTCTGGAAGAGCCTCCATGTTGTCGAAGGAGTTTATTGTTAAAGAAGTTAGACAAGTGAAGCATTGAACTTGTTCAGGCAGATAGTTGAGCTTCGGCCAACCCCACAAGCTTAATGTTTCAAGTTGTGGAATAACATGAAAAGCAGGGAAGGAATCGAGCTCCTCCCAGAACCAACCAATTTCCAATTGCTTTAAGCGGGTGAGGGATGCTGCAAACGCGTTGGGGGATAAACCTTTTAATCCACCACAACGACATATCTCCAACTCACGGAGTTGTGTGAGGCTGTCTAAACTTGGAATAGCTTCGATATTCCCGCAATTCATTATTGACATGTGCTCAAGAGAGGTACAATGTTGCAACCCATTTGGAAGGCTTGATAATTCAGCACAAAATGAAATCTTTAATTGGCGGAGGGATGGGAGGCCGTGTGTGATTGGAATAGCTTCGAGATTCCGGCAATGCCTTATTGACAAGCACTCAAGGGAGATACAATGTTGTAACCCACTCGGTAGGCTTGATAATTCATCACAATTTGAAATATATAATTCGCGGAGGGATGGGAGGCCGTTCGTAACTGGGATGCACTCCAGACTTTCACAATGAGCTATAGTCAACTCCTTAAGAGAGGTGCAGTGTTCTAGCCCATGAGGCAAAGACCTAAGATTAGGACAGGAAGAAATACGCAGTGACTCAAGGGATGCGCAACAACCATATACATCGGCAGCAATACAAATGAACTCAGGACAATCTCTTATCTCCAAATATGCAAGATTCTTGTTGTTTTTTAACATCCCTTCTGGCAGAGAAACAAGTCCCCTTATCTTCTTTATTGTGAGACGAGTAAGAGTCGTCAGCTGAGTGCTTATAATATTAGCTATCGGCATGCCGCTATTCATGGAATCTATCTCCAACTTCTGCAAACATGGAAAATGATCTATGGGAGCACTTCTCAATTGATCACAATTCCTCAACAACAACTCCTCAAGGCGAGAAAACACCACTCTTCTTTCTGTTATTGAAAATACTGCAGCTTCTTCCGTCCTCCATTCAGTTAGGTTCTTTGCATTTTCAACAGTTAATCTTTTCAATGAAGAAAATAAATCTCCACACATCATCCAGGGTGGAAATGTCTCACCACTAAAGTTGCGAATCTCTAAGCTTTTCAATGCAGAATGCGGTTTAAGGCCTTCTAGTACATCCCTGTCATTATTGATGCCTGCTCGTAGACAACCCCATGAAAACCTTAGTCTGCGTATGTTTGTCTTCTCTGCTAACTTTGCCTCTTTTGCTTCTTCTCCATCTCTCACATGCTCCAGATGTTTAATAAATAATTCGCCTTTCAAATGCTTTAAGCCACCCAGCTCCTTTATTCCACGACCTCTCTCCTTACCCACAATGAAAAAGGATAATGATCGCAGATTTTTCAACCGCCCCATGCCAACTGGATATCTTCCATCTCCATGCCAATCCTCAAAATGAATATGTCTCAAGTTGATCAAATTTTGCAGTTCCTTGGGAAACTCTTCAAGTTCGAGTTCATGCATTCTTAACGTCTGTAGGTTATAAAGCTTGCCAATAGATTGGGGGAGCTTTTTGATCTTTGTTGCTGAAATATCTAGATACCTCAAGTGTTTCAGCTTTCCAATTGAATTTGTCAACTCATCAATATCAGACTCTTGTAATTTTAAGACACGCAAACCTTTAAATCTTGGTAAGATGTTATCAAGAACTTCACATTTCAAAAACATTGAGCGCACTTTATGAACAATTCCTTTTGGAATTTCTTGTAGATCTATGGTTGAATTCTGCGGCACATGTCGAATCTCATTGGATCCCTTGGTCTTTGATTTTGATACATCTTCTGCAAGATCATGCACAAGATCGTGTATCTTGCATGTGGTAATAATAGTGCCATAATAGTAATCCATTCTAACATCTTGAAAAAAAGAGTTCTCCAACAGAATATTGAAATATTGATTTCCCACATCCTCCATCTCTAGATCACTATTGTTGGGAGAAGGGTGAAGCAATCCTTGAGCCATCCAAAGTTGAATCAAGTCATCCTTTTCAATTTCAAAATCTTTGGTGAACATTGAGCAATAGGCAAAACATTGTTTCAAAGTTGGTGATGTCAATTCATTAAAACTCAACTTCAAAACTGATGAGATTCTTTTTTCTTCTTGAGGTAAATCCCATATTGTACTTTCTTGAATTACCCGCCAACCATCAATTTCTTTGAACCGCATCATACTTCCCAAAACCTGTTGGTATATGAGTTTGAATCACAATTAAATGATATAATAGCGTAAAATAACTAAAATAACAATATGTTTTAAGCATTTTATTTACTCTGTTACTGTATTCGAAACCCCCTTCTCATATCTCTTATAAGAAAAACAATCCACCCTCAAGAAAATTAACAAATAAATTTATAGTATGTTGATAACAAATAGAAAATAAAATGGTATCTGCCATTTTTCAAGCACAAACATGAACCTAATCGACATTCCCAGCATTTTCTTTTCCTGTAAATATGCCAATACTGATTTTTTTCTTCTTCTTTCTAATCCCTGTTCGAGCATTCATTTTAATTGTAATGTAAAATAGAAAGAACTCCTTATACAATATTTTCCTTTAAAAATTAATATAGCAAACAAAATTATCGATGTCCAGTGGAAAGCAAATAACAATAAGCAGAAAGCAAGCAAAAAATTCACCAAATGGATGAACATACCTTTGCAACTAATGGAATACCTCCACACTTTTTGGCGATGTCCCTTCCAATTCTCTCTTGATCTTCATTTAAAGTAGGATCACTCTCATTTGGAAATGCTCTATCCTTCAAAATAAGCCAACATTGATCATCTGATAATTTTTGCAAATCATACCTAGAAAGTGTCTGTGAAATTGATGCAACCCTCGCACTCCGGGTAGTGACAAGAATGTTGCTTCCTTGGGCATCTTTAACACTTAACAAACAACTCATCAAGTCATTCCATTTTTCAGAATCTTCATTCCACACATCATCCAGTACCAGCAAATATCTTCTCCCTTTCAGATCTTCTTGAAGATTTTTTATTATTGCATCCTTGTCTTGCATCCTAGCCTTTTCCGGTTTAAGATGTTCCAAGATCTTGCTTAAAATTGACTTGACCTCAAAAGGAATAGATACACATATCCATATTTTTTCAGTGAAGCGTCTGCCTATCTCATCTTGATGATATACAGATTTAGCCAAAGTTGTTTTTCCCAAGCCGGCCATTCCCACAATGGCCATCACGGGTAGATTTTCATTCTCTTGAGTATTGCTTGAGTTGATCAAGGTTGTAACTATCTCTGACACA